AGACATCGCCACAAGTAGCGAATACTGACAAGGCGCAGAGCTGTGCGGTTCCCAAGTATCGTTCCTAAATGTCCTCCCTTATGCAAGACCTCGGAGGCCCAAATCTGTGGTTGAACCAGATGCTTTCTAAGTTACTCATGTGCTAGCACCAGGCCAGCGAAATTGGTTAAATGCATAGCTAATTCCAAAACACTTTCATTGGAATATTTGGGGTGGGGAAGCAAACCAAGAGCTGCCCGAGTGATCTTCTGCTTCACAGTGAGCTGAACGTCTGGACCGGCATGTGCCAAGATGATGCTCTTGCACAACACTGAGGGGAAGGAAAAAATGACGCAAGTAAGGTTGTGTTGGTCCCAAAAACTGACGACACTTTGCTTGTCTAAATTGGCTGCTCACCTGGAGCATCCCACAGGCCTTCAGTCAGCTTTGGAGTTAGGTTTTGAAGTCATGAAATCATCTTTCCCTGTCTCTGAGAAGTTACTCCTTCGGTCTTCTTTATCCGGTATTGCCCTAATTCATTTTTTTGCAAAGAAAACACAGTATAAATCAAAAGTAATTTCACTGCATTTATTTTCAAATGTTGAATTTTTATGGGTTTTTTTAGTGGCTGTGCTGCTGGCATGGCAACGCGGTAGTTGTGCAAGCTTGGAAAATAAGAAAGCCTTGAGTTATCAGTGTTGTTATAAATAGTTATTAAAACTGACAGGATTTTAAATGTTGTTATTAACATTCTTAATGTTAATTTGAGGGTAGGGTGAGAGAATAAAACGTGGCTCTGGCTGTCTGGCAGCTGGTGGGAGCTCCCCACAGGACCATCCGTGGTTGAAGCTCTGTCATCCTTTCTCAGTTATTCCTTGCCTTGGGAAGGAGGCAGGGGGGAATGGTTGCTTCTCTGAACTTTATCTGCTTGCACAGATTGTTTTTTCTTGAGTTTTGGTGGCTTTGTGGTAGGCTGTTAACAAGGCATTTTGCTTGGTAGGTGTGCACTTTAACGGTGAAGTTCCTACCAGATGTATTCATCCAGATGCAATTGTCATGGAGCTGGAAAGGGCTAAGGACGCAGGGCAAACCATTTCCCTTTTGTGAGACTTTGAAATGGGATGGATGCGACAAGGTACCAACAAAAACCAGATTTTATTTTACCGAGAGCACATCATTTTTACAAGAAGGTGATGGTACCTTTACCAGTAAAAGTAAGTTGGGGGTACCTCAGCATATATGATACGAAACATTTGGATTAAGCCCAGACAGTCCAGAACTGTTTGCTTTTCACTTAATTTTTGTGGATTGTGTGCAAATCTGTGTTTTTAAGGAGCAAGTTCAATACAAATGTGAAGATTGGTGCCAAAACACATCCGTTAACAGCTTTTAATCTTCACGTTTGACAAAGCGTATAGACATGGACAAATTGTAATTTACATCATGAAACCGCAGGGTGATGGATTGCTGCAGTGGCATGGAACGCCACGGAAAGGAAATAAATTTCACAAGATAAAAGGAAGGGACTGGAGTGCATTTACTTCTATTATAAGCTTTTACAGGGTATGTGCACTACAACGTTACTACTACCTGGGCTCAAGTCTACTAGAGTAAATCCTCTTCAGCAAATAAAGCTTTCTTTGGGACTCCGCTTTATTAGAAAGGAGATTATTTGGTTTTTGAGGGTCATTCTAGAGTAGAGTTCGAATGAACTTGAGTTGCTTTCCAAGATAAACACAACCCCAGAACAAAGCATATCTGGGTTTACTGTTACATACAATGGTGCTTTAAGAGCTTGCACCTGGCGTGGCAGAGTGAACATTAAAGGCTTGTGAAGAATTGCCAGTGCAACACATGGCACAGCCCCCTGACAGATCCAGAGTCAGTCTGGACCGGGTACGGGCCCCTTGCCAGGGGTTAAGGTTCTCGCTGCAGTGATACGCAGCAGTTAAGCATTTATCACTGTTGTAACGAGGTGTAATTGCTCGTAATCTTCCCCGAAATTCTCTCTTAGAGCTGGTCTTTGCTTGTGCCTTCCTGTTGGCTTTCTGACACCATGAAATGCCAGATCTGGACTGATGAATTACACCTTGGTCTTCCTCTTCATCTGCAACTGCATTGCAAACTAACGGCTTCCCTGTGGGTTACGTCCATCACTGGTTAGGGTTCGGCTTGGCAGTTGGCTGCAGGCTGGGGTTTGTCTTTTCATCACCCCGTTTGCTCAGTTCTATGTAAGGCTCAGAGCTGCAAACCTACTTAGGGAAGGAAGCAAAACCCCATTTGCTTTTAAAATCATCCTGGGTCTTTGTTCAAAGGACTGAATCCAAGTGACCGTCCTGTGTCGTCCGCCGTGGAACGCAGGAAAGCGGCTTCAGTTTCCCCCTGCATCTGCTGGGATTCATAAAGATCAACCCCTATGAAATATCAAAGCGGGGCGGATGCTGCAGGATCGCAGCCACGCGGGGCGAGATGGGAACCTAAGATGGGAGGGTGCCTCCTGGGTCACTGCTGTGCGGGTAATTTCCCCCCCCTGCCCCCCTATGCTGCCACGCACTCCCTTTCATAAAGCTGCGGCTTTCCACAATAAGGGTGGGAAGTCTCCTGCTCCTCGTCCTGCTTCAAACAGCACCTGGCTGGTGCTATCAACCTTTTCCTAATTTTCTTCCCAAGGAAGATGCAGAACGCTTCTTTAAGGACCAGCAGTGCTAGGATGGCCGGGATCTGCTGATAAGTCTCAGGACTAGGCGTGGAAGTCCTGGCTCCTACTACCAAATGTCACGGGAAGAGATTTTTATCAGAGAAATAACTAAACTGGGGCATCCTTCAGAGCTCTGTCTCTGGGTGTTAGACATTGTTTAGATCCCTCTTCCCCCACTCCGTAACTTTTTTGTTACGCAAGGGCTACACCATCTGGATGGCAGATGATACCTTTACATTTGTCTGCTTTCAGTTTTCCTACTATAAATCATCTGATTTAGCTGGTTTCTGTTGCTTGAGCTCTTCCCAGTGTTTGAACTAGCTTTGCTTTAAAGCCACACTGCCCCAATAGGGAGCTTTCTGCTGGGGTTCCTGTGCCCGGCTGCGCCTTCCAAGTGTGTGTGTCTGTGTGTGTGTGTGCGCACACTCCGAAGCGTCTGAACAGGATTCCCACACCACCGCAAGCAGCTTTCTACATCGAGTCTCCTTTTGCTCAGCCAAACAGGCTCCTTGTGGACAAAAGAGGGGTAAAGATGACAAAAGAGGGGTAAACTGACGTCTGAAAGAACATTGCTGGCCAGCCAAAATCTAGCACCAAGCCCCATCAACCACAGAAAATTGTCTTTCTGTCTTTCTACCTAGTTTCCTTGCCCACTGAAGAGAAACCATGGTCTTTCCAGAGCTGAGGGAAAGACAACCGATTTTTATCTGCCATCTGGTTGGACTTGAAGTTCTTAAAGGTCTTTTCCAATCTAAACGATTCTATAATTCTCTTTTTGTAAGAAAAAAAGCTGATGTTACTAGCAAAGCCAGCCTGACTATGTTGTGGGGGTTTTTTTTTCTCATTTGTTTTTGTTAAAATCTGTTGCCTCCTAGTTTCACGTGCTGCCAACTAGTTTTTGCACCAGAAGATCGTGTTCAGTTTGTCCGTAGCCCTTACGCTGTGTTGGGCTTTGCGACAGCAAGGTCCTCAGCGTGCATATGGTACCCGGTCTTCCTCACGTAGGTTCATCTCTGTTCAGTCCTGTCATCCTGTCTGCTGTGAAATCAGTGTCCAGGCCCCCAGCAGTTGAGACGTGGAGGCCATCCGCATCTCCAGCCATTTGTGTTGGATGGCTTCTCTCTTCCTCGGGGCTGTGTGTGTGTGTCTCCTCTGGCAGCGCGGTCTTGGGTCATAACCTATTCAGAGTGCTCTCCATAAAGGCTTTACAAGAAGTCTCAAGCGCATTGCTAAAACACCAGAGACTGCTTCTATTTTGTCAGCATATCTCTGATCACATCTCATTTTCCATTTTCATGTGTGGCTAATTAACACTTAAACTTGCTCTTGAGGGAGCTTCTCCGTTCAGTGCTTTAGACGGACCCACCACGTGGTCGGCACTAGTACGTGGTGCTGGAGCTAACGCTCCTCCGGCCGGCTGGGTGGAAATGGTTTCAATGAATGTTCTGAAGCTGGGCCAGAGAGTGAATCAAACATGAATGACCATGAGTCACTTTGGAAAACAGCCCTGTCGAGGGCTCAGGGGGTGACGTGCCTGCTGCAGATAGCTCCGCTCGCATGCCCAGCGGTTGCACCTCAGCTTCGAGGGTCCTCCCAGCTTGTCCTCAGCTGCAGGGCTGGAGCTGCCACCTCCTTCGGGTGCGGGGAATGGTGTGATGGGTGCTGCCTGTAAATGAACCTGGGTATCTGTCATGTAAATGCTGTGTTGCAGGAGTTGAATGTGAGATAAAGGAGCCGGTCTCTCTGCCAGAGAGCCCCGCTGGGCGATTGTGCAGGAAGAGCCGCTCCGCCGAGGAGGAGGAGGGCACACTCCCGGCGGGTTTGCTGCCGGATAGTGGCAGGCGTCCCATCTCGGCTTCTTTTTCCTGAGAAATCCCAGCATTGTCATCTTCAGCATGTGTTTGCGGTGGGGCTTGGACAACGCAGCCTTGCCTTACGCCTTTTGGCTCGGTGGCCTTTTAGTCCCTTCCCTAATCTTGAATGCTTCATGTCCCTTTGCAGCCCAGGGAGGGGTCCCCCAATACCAGGCAGCTTTCTCTGCATATATTGCAGTGTATATAATGTTTTGCAGTGGCGGGGGACTGGCCGTGACCCCTAGAGGGGCAGGTATACCCAAGGAGGTGAATTAAACCCTTTAATGTGTTCCCCAAATACTGGGGAGTTCTGACCGGACAGCGGTGGCTGACCCCATTGCATCTCCTCTGTGCAGCTCTGTTCCTGCCTGCCCTTGGGTGAATGTGCAAGGTTTTGGTTTTGGTTTTTTTTTTTGCTTTAGTGACCAAGGGCTAATTTTGTTTTCCTTTCCCCTTTTTCCCTTGTAAAGGTGAACCCCACGCCACAGGGTACGCGGGCACTGCTGAAGATGATGTACTGCCCGTACTGCCGAGGTCTGGTGTCGGTGAAGCCCTGTTACAACTACTGCTTTAACGTCATGAGAGGCTGCTTGGCCAACCAAGGGGACTTGGACACGGAGTGGAATATCTTTATGGGTAAGGCAATATGGGTTAAAACTCCATGTGAGTATATACCAATGCTGTGTCCCCCACCTAGATGGTTTTTGTGAAGGGCTGTGCTGAGCTGTAGCAGGGTGTTTTAGGTGACTGTGATGGGTATCTTCTCCTTCCACGTCTTTGTTTCCAGCACACCTTTTGCAGTTTACATTAATTTCTAGATAAATGAAGCTTTTGTTGAGTCAGTGACCTCTGTTGCAGCAAGCTTTAGGAGGATGGAGCTGCCGTGTGCTTGTAGGCTTGGAGTGCCTCTTCTTGCTGGAGCAAGCGTGCCTGCAAGCTGTTTTTTCCATACTGCTCCGTATACGTTGTTGTCGCCACGCGGCTGTCCTTCCCCAAGCCAGTTTTCTTGCTCGGCAGTCTGGGAGTCTCCCTGCTAGGGTGAGCTTTGGGAAAAGCTGTGGGCCTGTAGTTTACATTAAGAAAATTGAATGGGACATGTGTCTGAATCTGTATTTAAACAGCTCGTTTGGTGCTCGGCCGCCATCCTTTTGAAATGTCGATCGGCCTTACATGACGCTGTGCAAGCGCTTTTGCCATCCTCTTCCTCCTGTTTGTTATTTCTCTTCTGTGCTTATAAATGGTATTATTCGATATATGAAATTTAGCCTGAAATGTCAAATTCTACCTTGGGTCACTGAAATGTTAAATTCTACCTCGGGTCAAGGCTTAGCAGAACGGTCGACGCGTCACGTTTTGGGAGCACAGGCAATAGATAACGTTAAATGTTTTCATTTGTGCTCCTTTTCCAGTTTTCCAGGAGGCTTGATTTATCTGTGAACGTGCATCCTTTGGGAGCAGTCGCTTCACTCCAGTTAATGTGTGATGAAGTGCACATGTAAAGTATCTGCCGCTGCTGACAAGGCTGCGGTGCTCTTCCCATCCCACTTGTGGAAAAAGACGACTGTTCGAAAAGGAAGATTTTCCTTTCATTAAGCTGCGAGATTAAAAAAAAAAAAAAGGAAATTGCTGATAATTGGCATTTCGGGCTAGATTTAAATCTTAGAACTTGTTTTCCTGTGTTTTGTGCACTGGCTTTTCACTTTGCTGCCTGTGCCAACTGGATGTGTGCAGGGTATTATTTTCAGAAGGCGCTTTTTTGCCTGTGTATTCCATATAGGGAGTTAAATGTGACACTAAATTGGGTTTCCAAGTCATTCTCTGGGAGGCTGACCCCCCCCCCCCCATTCCTCCCAGCCGTCTTTCTCATGAGAATATTAAGTATTTCAGCTACAATTGTTGCTGAAATAGCTCAAAGCCAGGAGACTTGCAAACATCTAGTCCAAGTAGAAAAGAGGAATCCCATGAAAGGGAAGGGCATAATGCCAGAAAACAGACAAAAGCACAAGCAGCTAATTGCTGTAGGTGGTATGCAGCTAAAAACGAACCTCGCTGGAAGCTGGCGAGCCCTGTCACACGAGACTGATCAGGGACCGCGTGCAATAATTAAGATTATTAAACAAAACAAAATAAAGAAATGCAATTCCAGGTTGGAAGCAAAGCTTTCTTCTTGCAGTGCTTCCTCCCCAAGGGGCTTCTTGCCCACTCGTTACTTAAGTACGGTATTAAGCTTCGTTACATTTATTGGCAGTATTTGCTTGGTTCTTGCACTCTGGGTTGATTCTTGCAGTGGAGTACAGATACTGAAAACTTAAGCTGTGCTTTCTTTAGGTGGTTTAATAACTGAACAGGTGCTGGTTATGTTCCAGATTTTGGTTTCTATCTCAATGTGCCACTTGAGGCAAATTAAATTAATTAGATCTGGTGTTTGGGGCAGGGCGTATGTCACAAGTATCCTGTGTGTGTGTTTAAAAGTTTAAATAAATAAAAAACAACCCTCTAAAAACTCCCCCCAAAACCACCCCAGAACAACAACAAAAAAACCCCCACCTGCATGGGCTCAATGCTATTTTGCATCGTGGGTTTAAGGACTAAGTTGTGACAATGATTATTACACGTCAAAACCAGATTTTGAACATAGCTAAATAATGTAAAGATAGTTAAGTGGGAGAACTTGCAACAAATGCTGCAAGTAGATACGAATTTGGGTGCATGCGCATATAAAATACGCACATGTGTGTGTTAGTGGGTCTTTATGTAAGTCACTTATATAAAGCTTTTCTAAACTGGGATGTAAAGTTTTTAGGTTTTTTGAGACAAGACGACTTTATGCTTCCTTCTGCAAGGTAGCGTTTAACGTTGCAGTGTAAGAAATAATGACCAAATTGTGCTCTCTTCTCCCATTTAACTACCTTTAAATTATTTTGCCCTCTATTCCTGACACAATTGTATGCCAATTAGAGAGGGGAATACTTTGTTTCAAAGCTACTGGGGGGGGTTGGAGCTTTCCGGAATGAACAGTGTTAATCTCCAGTGCCTTTTCATGACCACCCCCCCTCTCCAAAGGTTTACTCTGGTCAAAGATGTCGAATTCAGGCTCCATATACGTATCTGCAGTACTACTTTGTTTGCAAAGAATTTTTTCCCCCTTTAAAAGAACAAAAACAAAGAATGTTGTTAATGAATGGTCAAGGTCTTCCCCCTCCTTTCCTCCCCTTTTAAATCAGATCTTGGGGTTAAGACTGAAAACTGCCTTTTGTTCTTCAAGTCAGACAGCGAGGCTGAAGATGGGGGTTTCTGATCATTGGTGGCACAATGCGAAAGAATTGCCAAGGGTTGTCTCAACGCCAGTAGCAAGGACAAATGCATGCAGGAGGAAAAGGGTCTTTAAGGGATGGTGCCCCCCCCTCCCCAGCCCACTTCTATCTTCCCATCACAGGGGGGAGAGACAGTCTTTGTCGTGCTGTGTGTTTGTAATAAATGGCCAGGGTGCATTTTTTGCTCTGCCAGGCTGGTTTTTTATGAAGCAGATCTGAGCCCACCTCACCATGGCTTATAAATATCAATTATTTTGCACCGGAGCTGCGGTAAAATAATTGATACTCATCATCAACTCCTCTCTCCCAATAATGGAAAATTCTTTCTTGGGAGACGAGCTGCACCGAAGCTTCGTTGCTGGGTTTAGTGCAGCGTGCCTCCCTTCTCGACATACCGGCGTTATCTTGAACCCCAGCCAGCCCTATTAATGTCAAACGTGGCTGCCAGAGGGAATCGCTGCTCGCCACGACTGCTGGTGGGGACACTAGCCAGCTCCTGGTGGGAGACTGTGGGTGAGGCAGACCCACCCCCTTCCCGATTCCTTTTTTTTTTTTTTGCCTTTTTAATGAAAGTTTATTTCACTTAGTGCTCCTTGCCAGTATCAATCCCAGCTCCTGAAGAGCTCCAGTTGAATATATTCTCCAAGGGCAATTATTACTTTCCTTATCTTTTCTCGCCAGCTTTGGCAGCTCTGCTGGAGGCCGAATGCATTTTCTCTATCGGCAGTCAAAGCGGAGGCTGCATTCCTGGGCTGTGATACATGTAACGCCATGGCACCCCTGCTAACAAAGGACCCAATTCGCTCTACATTCCCATGGTCTTGTGGATGGCCTGCCCGGCTCAAAGTTTACAAAGACGCCAAACAGCCAGAAGAATTGGGGTTTATGTTTCCTTTCAGTCTTTCACAAACACTTTATTGATCTGCGGCCTTTCCTGGCCACTCGGAGAATTAAGTAGTTACAAAATGGAATGATTTGTTTTTTGCTTTTTTTTTTTTTTTAAACTATGCATTTTGTGTGTTTTATTATCTCTCTATTCATAATATTTTTATTTGAAATGAGCGGCTTCCTGCAATCTGCGCCGGGATGTTCTTTATGCGCGTGAAAAACCCCAAAAGCTTTGACAATGATGAACACATTTAAGTTGTGCTCCACTTGTTTACAAAAGTCTCCATTTGGTAGCACATCAAAAGCATTTTTCTCCCCTCCGGCACAATGGTATATTCATGCTAGCAGTCATTACTCAGAGATTTGAAGCATCACTTTATTGGAGCCCACCACAATACAGTCTAAGACTCTTTGTTTCAAGTAGGCTCATATCGTATATAAATGAAGATGATTCTTTGGTTTGTAGGATAATAAAGGAGACATTATGATGAAGAGTATACCAGGCAAGTAATAAAAAGGAGGAAGTATATGTAAGTCTTGGTTGCCTAGGAAAGGCATTGCTTTCTGAGTTTGGGATTTTTTTTTTTTTTTTTTTTTTTAAATGCATTTAGTTCAGACCTGTTTGTAGTCCCTGATGGCTAAATTCCAGCCCTGCCCTGCCACAGCTCCATCACTGATGCTGGTGGTGTGTGCCTGCGGGGCGGGGGGCTTTCCGGGGGGCTCCAGCTCCTCCCGGGGTTCACTCCCTGAACACCAGCACCTTGGCAGAGCTGCCCGAGTCCCAGCTGATGGGGTTTTTAGGATGGGTTGCTCGGTTGCTCAACCCTTAGCTAACACCCAGTAAATCTTTGGAATACTGAGTTGCCTTTAGAAAGTGGATTTACAGGCTAGGAAGCCATCTGCAATTCATGGGCGGGGGGGGTTGGTGTTGGGTTTGTTATTAATAGTATTACTATTATCATCATCGTCGTCATTATTTAAAGACACAAATAGCTTAATTGTGTATTATCATCAGTATATGGGTTTTTAGTGTAGTTTAACATGACTCGGGTATTAAGGCAGAGCTATTACTGAAGTGTTCAGTATGTGGAGTATCTTTATAGGGCTTTAACAGGTAGCTGCAGCCCACAGAAGTTTTCCACTTGTTGAAAGTAGGTTCTGCGCTTCGGAGGAGGATGAATGTCACGAGAAACACTTTTCAAGAGAAATTAATAGCTTGACTGTGAAACGCCCATTTCACCTTAATGGAAGGGAACAGGCGTATCCTTGGGAGCGGGGAGGAGCTCCTCGGAAGAGGGTTTCCTCTGGGCCGGAGGGGTCATTGTGCCCTGGCCTCCCATGTCACTCAGGCTAGGAAAAATTGAAGAATTAGATGCAACTGGAAAATTACAAGTTTGTGGCAGAGCGTCACAAAGTGACACAGGAAAGGAGATGAGCAAATGGGGTGCTCCCGGGCTGAGGAACTGCAGCAAAACCAAACGTTAAATAAAGGTTGTGATGGGCAAGAAGAGACGAGTGCTTAGCACAAGGCGTGTACCTGGGGGCACCTTCTAGGGGAGAACCAGAGAGAGGATTGAAATGCAATGCGGGGCGAAAGCCATAACGCCAAAAATAATTTCCTAGAGGAAGTAATGGAAGTTCAGTAGCTGCTATGTTTCATGATGTATTTGATGAGGACGTGCGTGTCGGCACAGGAGGAGTTGACACAGAGTTGGCTGAGGGACTTTTCCATCCCCACTTGCATAGAGATGTGCCAAGTCTGTCATTAGCACACAGCCTTTACCCTTGTCTCGTGCAGTCTCCCTCGTGCAAATTGTCCATGCAGTGCCAGAAGGTGTGATCCCAGGCACAGCAACCCTCTAGCTTTCCGTGAGGGAGAAGTGGTTCCAGTGGTCGCCTTGGGTCCTTTCACGTTGGTGTCTTGCGTTTGGGACCAGCATAAGGAGGCCGGTGGCTTTCTCTCTCTCAGCTTTGAAAGCAGTCTTGAAAAACAAATGACACAAGGAAACCTTTAATAAACAAGCATGCAGAGGAGGGTGTTAGTAATGCTTGTTCTAATGGGAGGAGCTGATTACAGGCTGCCTTTTGGCAGGCTGCGATGACTCTCCCTCATTTAACGCAGCTTTTGATGTATACGAGCCCGTGGCTTGGTGTCGGCAGCTTGTAAGTGCCTGGTAACGTTGTAGGCTCTGGGAACGGAGCAAAATGTTTCCTGGAGATGTGCGCTGGTCAGAAGCAACGTTGCAGCAGTTAATGTCTGTGTGCTCAATCTGTTGTCCTTGTTATCTGGTATCCTCGAAGCTCCTCCATTAAAAGCCTTTGTTTCTCTCTTTGTGTTAGATTCGATGCTACTGGTAGCAGAAAGGCTGGAGGGTCCCTTCAACATCGAATCAGTCATGGACCCCATTGATGTGAAAATTTCGGATGCGATCATGAACATGCAGGAGAACAGCATGCAGGTGTCTCAGAAGGTAAATGGGCCAAGAGGACACGCGGGTGTTATTTATCCGATGTGATTTACGTCCCTGTTCTCACTGATACAGTTTTTTCTTTAATGTCCTTTCAAGTTTATATAAAACTGATGTATTATTTTGGACAGGGGCTGGGTTGGAGCCTGGAGAAGGGAGGCTCTTGTGACCTCCCATTTCAGAAAGCCCTTTCCTTCTCTCATGTAGGTTTTCCAGGGATGTGGCCAGCCAAAAACGCTTGCCCAGGGCCGGACTGCTCGCTCAGTCTCTGAAAGCGGTTTCAGCGCTCGTTTTAGACCCTACAACCCGGAGGAGCGGCCGACTACAGCCGCCGGCACAAGCTTGGACCGACTGGTGAGTGCCTGGTCCTGCCGGTGCCGCACAGGCGCTTCGCACCCATGTACCGCAGCGTATAATTTTCCATTTGTAATTTATAGGGTTTCTTAATATTCCTTGGCTGTCTGAAACTCTCTGAGGGGTGTAGTCTGCCCATGGCTCTAGATGTGAATTACATCAACACTTGTATGTCAGAAAAGTGCCTGTTTTAAAGGCTTGGCTTATGAGTAATATGTGTTTGAGGAGCGGTGTTTAATTTTGTATTAAAAAAGTAAATCAACCATCAAAACACGCAACCTGAAGATCTGGCCTATACGCGTCTGTTGCGATAAAAAATACCTTTCCAGCTTCACTTCTAATGAGCATTTGGTATTCTGGATTATGTCCTGTGTTTCTTTTTTTTTTTTTTTTTTTTTTTTTTTTTTTTAATAGGTTACTGATGTGAAAGAGAAGCTGAAGCAAGCCAAAAAATTTTGGTCATCTCTCCCTGGCAACATTTGCAACGATGAAAAGATGTCTGTAGGCACTGTCAATGAGAACGAGTGCTGGAACGGGAGCGCCAAGAGCAGGTTTGGCCATGCTGC